AGGGCGTCTCCAACAGTTTTGCACCTGCCACCAGTTATGCAATCGCTCTTGTTAAATCACCCGCAAACCATGGTTCAGCCCCTCGCGCAAAATTCTAGTTTGCGAGCGCAAATTACTGCACGCAAAATTGGATCTTGATAAATCCGGCCCCTACTGTAGACTCATAAAACATGACCTACATAGTTCTACCCTAACAGAAGAACATTTCAGCTCCTGTGTTTGTTTTGTGTACCACCAATTTAATTTTTGAAAAGTCATTTAATATCTATGTTAATGGTTTTCTTTGCATTTTGATTACATTCAAACTGGTCCAACTAAAATCTGCAAGTCTGCAACACCCGGATTCTTCAGACTTAGACCGCATTGTTCTACACTACCATGAGAATCTTTCAAACCCAGTTTGTGATTTGCAAATCCTTGCATCACATTTGTGGAAATTCCTTGTATTAATTGCCTGTCAGCAATAATTTCTTGCTTAAAGTATCTAGACATATTTTACATTTATTCAACTATCTAACATGATATAAAATTTGTTGTTAGATTTGTGTCTAAATTTGTCTTTTGTATCTACTGGGAGAACTTTCTTTCTTTAATCACAATTATTATTTTTTTTATTTTGTTACATTTCACCAACAGTTTGAACACTTAGTCCATCATTTCATCCAACATGCTTCTTAATAGTATGCTTCCCTATGCTTCTTCGGTCCTTGTATTTTTAAAATATCGTCATTTTCAACATTTCAAAAACTATTTCGAATAACCAGTATTTTTAAGGTAACTTTAGCTTGTGAAGAACCTTTTTCTACCTTTCTGTCAGCCTCTCTCTATTTCCCCTTAGTTTGCTTCTCATGGTCTGTCTTGCCTCTAGTGTTTGTGAAATAACTCCGGCTTGTAGAGCTATTTAAGTTTACACTTTCTTCAGTTGTTGATCAACACTTGTGCATTTATTTCCAACTGGTAAGCCGATTCTTGATGTTTCAGCAACTTTCCAAACACCTAGTTCTTCATTTAATACCATATCCTACATTTCTTTTTTTTTTTTTTATGTGTAGTTTTCATCATTTTTAAGTCATTTTTATTTATTACATTTCTGCAATTATTTTTGGGCAAAATCACCTTGTTAACCCCTTGAACCCTACGGACCCACCGGCGGGTCCAGCTGCTACGTGACCTCGTAATCTTACCAAACCCCCAGTATTGATGTAAAAAACATATTTGGCACAGTTTGGTGACATTTATGGATAAATGTGCCAAAATGGCCTCTCCGCCTA